AGTGCTGAAGGGGAGGGGGCACTGTCGGAGGGTCAGTGCTGAGGGAGCACCGCACTGTCGAAGGGTCAGTGCTGAGGGAGCGGGCACTGTTGGAAGGTCGGTGCTGAGGCAGTGCCACACTGTCAAAGGGTCAGTGCTGAGGGAATGCCACGGAGGGCTGGTGCTGTGGGGTGAGCACTGTCGGAGGGTCAGTGCTGAGGAAGCGCCACAGTATCAGAGGGTTGGTGCTGAGGCAGCGGGCACTGTCGGAGGGTCAGTGCTGAGGGGTTGCTTAACTCTTATAAGGTGGTACTGAGAGAGTGTTGCATTATCAGATGAACCATTAAAATGAGACACTATCTGCTCTTTTAGGTTAATGTCAAGGGAAGGAGAAGGAAAGTGAACCAAAGTTGTCTACATTTAACAGGAGCTGGCCACTTTGGTTATTGTTTGATTGAGTTTACTGGTAACATATTTGACCAATCTAATGTTCAATCTTAGTGAAGCTTTAGTTCTTTTGTTTTGCTTTCACAATTTTCTATTTTCTTTCTCTACCTATTAAATTTATAATCTTCTCTGTAACCATTTTAACTTTTCTGTAACTATTTTAAATCAGTATTTGTGGGTAGAAATAAATGAAACCCATTAAGCATTACAATTTTTTGAAAGTCATTGATTTGTTACCTGGTAATTCAAAGGTCAGAACAAACTACAAGTTTGCCTATGTGTTTAAAGCAAGAAAGTCTTAGTTGCATTATCGCAGGGGAGTTTTCCCTGGTGATTCATAATATTTATCCCTCAGTCAATATCATAAAAACAGAGCATCTGGTCATTATCGCACTGCTGTGCTTGCTGTGAACAAACTGGCTGTTGATTTCCTGAATTATAACAGTGATGACACTTCAAAAGTACTGTAAATCTGTAAAGAGCATTTGGACATCCTGAGGTCATGAAAAGTACTAAATTGCAGGGCCTTTCTTTCTTAATATCCAAGTTGTCCAACATATTGGATATCATGATGGGATTTGTACCAAAATGCATTAAGCTGACCAAAATGGGCACAAAATGTGACTGTTCCAATATGGCCCTGAATTCCTAGGGGTTCTTCCAATCCCTTACCATACCTCAATGAGTGACAAGTGGCAATCTCAGCAAAATGGGACAAATGGGTCTTATTTAGTTCTTTATCTGGTTTTGTTTAGGGTGACACAGGTCTCCCACTGGACACCTCACAGTATTTCTAACACATTCTCCATTGCTCTTCTTAGGTCAGTTCTTAATTAACTTTGCAGTCCAAACCTACATAGAGCAGAGAAAGTAAAATAAGTCTGTCCGGTCCATCAAGTCCACTCTGTCTACAGCCCATGTATGTTCTAACTCTAATATAAACTGTACCTTGCTAGCCCTGGTGTGGGGATGCATCAAAATGGCAGCCAGACAGCTCTTACAGACCTCCCAGTCAATGGAGACAAACTAAACTAATTCCTGACTTTGTTACACTGCACATCACTGGGCACATCCTGGCTACTTGACAATGAACACCACTTACATTTAAGTAGAGGCCAGATTTACTTAAAGGGATTTTAAACACAAAAAAGTAAATGGGTTTGGGCTGGGGAGAGTGGGTTAAAGTTTTAAAAACAATTTTTTTTTAAATTCACTCATGGGACGCTGGTCAGCTTTTTTTTTATTGCCTCCTCCCTAATTGTCCTTGAGAAGGTGACCCAAACTTTCCTCCAACCTGTCAATTCTGGCTTTAACTGACATACTGAAAGGGGGCGAGTGACCCAAACTGCTCCAAGGAGGCAGGTAGGCATTTTAAATACGATA